CATATATGGTTTTAGAATTTCAATGGGATAGAACCCCCATTGGAGATGGTCTTACATCCTGTTCTTTTAGAAATAACCCACCGAGTATCATTATCTGCACTCGTCCTAATATGTCGCGAGATAAACGTATAAATTAAACATGATCCAACATGGGTCTGCACGAAAAAACGAAATAAGAGAAGTTCGATATGGGCCTAGATTACTACATACCCTTTAAGAAAACGAATATATACCGATATTTAATTAAGGTCTTAATTAACAGTGGGCTTATTTGGGTTTTTTATTGCAAGGAAAGCTAAAATATAGTGCAGCCCAAGGGAAGTAAATACCACAATAGGTATTAGGTTTATAACCAAACCAAAGATTTTCGAACCAAACCAACGTTTAGGGATTAGTTCTGCTCCAGCTATTTCCTCTTTTTTCATAATATAAATGTTTTTAAACAAAATGATTAAAAATTTATCTTCAAATATCATTTAATTTATCTAATTATAAAAAAATATACAAGCTTAATTGGCTTATAGTAGTCAGCGAAAATAAAAATTGTACAGAAATATAAAAATAAAGTATTTTTAATACAAAAATACATTTACAGTTTATATTATGAAACAGATGGAATTCTAGTATGAAACGGATTGGTTGATCAATGAAAAGGATTCAGTTGTCGGCTAACCAGAAAATTAAACCCTAAAATAAAGTCGCTGCTTCTTCTCCTTTTGATTTTCTTTGTGGCCATGTCAAGTCACCGTCATTTTCTCAAGAACCTGTTACAAACTTACAATTCAACGTTGGTAAAAGGAAGTCGGTGTAAGGAGTTATAGCAATTATTTATTGGTAAATTGACCAATCGGTTTGTGAGTAAAGCTATAGGTAGGTGAAGTGTGCTTAAACATCACTATTGTGTCGTGTCATTATATTAGTTACCACATTATTCAGTTTTCGATTTATAACCTATAAGAAAGTCAACACGTATAGAGGACTCCTCGAAATCACTGTTATGGCATGCTGTTTACTATAATTACGCAATTTAGCAAGATCGTAAGCTTTGACCAAAAAGAAAAAGCAAGATCGTAAGCTTAAACTACGACGTTGATTCCGCAGCGTAAACCTGACTATACGACAATCCAAAATATTCAAACTAGATTAAGATTATACAGTTAATGGTTCATATATAGTTACACCGGACAGTTCAAGTATTTCACATGGCTGCTTTTCTGATCATTTTTATCTCTGAACTTAAGGTTGAGTAATCTTATTTTGTTACATTATATTTGAATGGACCAAAATTGATAGGAAAATTCAAAAGGATCGTTGGACATAAAAACATCGTGGAGCCTAGCAGACCTAACATTTAGTACGTGAAACCCACATAATCTAATATTTTGCATCTCCCTATTTAACTTTCACACCAAAAAAAAAAATGTTGCATCTCCCTTTGCAATTAATTTAAAATATATACATATATGTATTGTTAGTCATCTTTTTGTATCATAAAAAGTCCATATATAAACTGTAAAATTGTTTAAGTTAATACTTAAAAATTTAAACTGGAATATAACTATTAGTTTGACCCAAAATAATTCATTTCATATTTTAAAAAGTGATGTTTTAACATTTCCTTAATTTTAAAATTTTGATTGATACTGTAGGTTGCTTTTGTTGGGAATGTGAGTCCCAACACCATTGCGTTCTGTTTGGAGAAGAAAACGTGGTTCAGTTGTTTAATGTAATTAGTTAATTAGTCTTAAGTTTTTACTAATTTGTTGACACTTGTATGTTATGTAAACAATGCACACACAAAAGGACGGACTTAAGTATCTTGTGTCCCCGAGGTAATCATAATTAAGAAGCATAATTCGATCGAGATCTTAAGCAACCACATGAGACATGTATGCTGTTCAGCATCAAGTGTACCCAATCTTCCTAGACATAAGAGTTAAATTAGGATGCAGAAGAAATTATGATGACTTCTTTTTTGGGTAATCAATTGCAAGGCCGTAGAAAGTCCACGCTTGATTCTTTTTTTTTTTTTGATGTAATGCTTCAGCAATTAGACTCAGTGGAAATCTATATTATAACAGTACACTTTCTAGGCTTCATAACGCGCCACGTCAGCAGTTTTGTGGGTCCCGTATGTATTTTTTAATAACTTATAGTCTTGGTAAGATGATTACAAACAATGAAATACACTTTAGCCAAGTGGTATAAGGTGTCTAATTAAGCATGCAAGATCGTGAGTTCAAACCACGCAGCCATCATTTATTTTTGATTTTTTGATTTGGGTTATTATCATATAGGTTTTTTGTTTGTAAGGTTTTTATGTTTTCTTCTTTATGGCTTATTGTAATAAAGATCAAAATAGTTGGATAAACCCTAAAGATTAATGAGTTCAAACCAAAAATAGTTAAAAATGGATGCAAAAACGAACAATAAAAAAACAAAAAAAAAACAAGTCTCACGCGGTTGCCTACGCGGATGGCTTAAAGAGCCTTAAAACTATTCTATTATAATATAGTTCAACCCAAAAATAATAAAAAATTAATCCAAAACGAACCGACAAAAAAAAAAAAGAAGTGAATCCCACGCGGCTACCTACGTGGATGGCTTAATGAGGCTTGAATAATATAGATTAAGAACTCAAAAAGTGAACAAGACTCAAACTTACAAAAATGCCACATCATTTATGAACAAGACTCAAACTTACAAAAAAACATATATAAAAACCTATCTAATGAAACTTAAACAACGAATGTTAACTTAATTAAGGTTATTTTCAAATTGATAAATCGTATAATACAAATATAAATACTATAAATATAGAATTATATCAAGTTTTGACCTACGATATAAAAACTATTTACAGCAAAAAAAAACACATACTTTTACACACTAAAAACTATATTATAGCCTAACTATTCCTATAAACCTTACTTCGCATATAAATAACATTTAACTCATTCCTAATATGGATGCAAAAACGAACAATAAAAAAACACCTTCGTTAAAAATGGATGCAAAAACGAACAATAAAAAAACAAAAAAAAGTAAGTCTCACGCGGATGGCTTAAAGAGCCTTAAAACTATCCTATTATAATATAGTTCAACCCAAAAATAATAAAAAATTAATCCAAAAACGAACCGACCAAAAAAAAAAGTGAATCCCACGCGGCTACCTACGTGGATGGCTTAATGAGGCTTGAATAATATAGATTAAGAACTCAAAAAGTGAACAAGACTCAAAATTACAAAAATGCCACATCATTTATGAACAAGACTCAAACTTACAAAAAAACATATATAAAAACCTATCTAATAAAACTTAAACAACGAATGTTAACTTAATTAAGATTATTTTCAAATTGATAAATCGTTTAATATAAATATAAATACTATAAATATAGAATTATATCAAATTTTGACCTACGATATAAAAACTATTTACAGCAAAAAAAAACACCTACTTTTACACACTAAAAACTATATTATAGCCTAACTATTCCTATAAACCTTACTTCGCATATAAATAACATTTAACTCATTCCTAATATATTTTCAAAAAATTTGTATGTGAAATAAAATAAAATAAACAACAAAATTTAAGTATTTTTCGTTATTTATTAAATGAATATGTAATTTCTCTTACATTTTAATAACTACTATAATTTCATTGAAAACATTCCTCACCACCGACTCCAGACTTCGGCGAATGAATTCCCACAGTCGAGGACGCCGTAGATAAAAATGCCACATCATTTATGAACAAAACCCAAACTTACAAAAAACCATATATAAAAACCTGTCTAATGAAACTTAAACAACGAATATTAACTTAATTAAGGTTATTTTTAAATTGATAAATCGTTTAATACAAATATAGATACTATAAATATAGAATTATATCAAGTTTTGACATACGATATAAAAACTATTTACAGCAAAAAAAAAAATAGACACCTACTTGTACACACTAAAAATTATATTATAACATAATTGTTCCTATAAACCTTACTTCGCATATAAATAACATTTAACACATTAGATATACAATATTTTCACTTTACACTCTTACTACTTTCTTTCCATTTCATTATTATTTGGTGTCGTTAGAAGAATCCACTAAACCATTAAATCGAAAAAAATATGCGCAAACATAATGATTCCGGCCCTGCGCTTGCGCGGGGAGTGTGCAATTAGTATAAGAAATTACACAACGTATACACAAATTTACGAGTGCAACATGTAGATCTTTTTATCTATTAAGAGTTACTTTTTTTTTTTGGTGATCAACCCAGTGTTACTGATTTTTAAAATTCAAATTTTCATAGATTATAATCTTGAATAGAACAAATGTTCTATTTCTTTGAAGATGATTATGAACTTTTTATATCATTCACTAGTTGTAGATAGTTCTTGATATTAATACAAAGTGGGATTATTTAGAAAATAGTAATTGAAATGAAAACAGAAAGCCAGTGTCATCACATGGTATTGCCTTTTACAGACATTCACATAAAAGGCCACATTGTTAGCGCAACATGGAACACTACTCTTAATTCCCACTTCAACCTCAACACCAGCTTTGGGAACTCCTGTCAGTGATAATTAAACATGTTGCACACTTAATTTACGATATTAAAAATTACAATCATATATTTTGTTAGAAGTAAAATGTCACAATTATACGACTATATTGCAGAAGTTGTTGTAGTGTGAATCGAAACTAATTTATAAATACACAATTGCACTGGTAAGTTAGTAAAAAATGATTACTTATCTTGACTAATAGAACATAAACATATAAAGTAATAAAAACTTACATAAATTATTTTAAACGATTTCAGTTAGAGGTTATCAAATCTCTTTATATCCCATTACATCATTGTCTAGGTTTATCGCTCTCTTCTCTCCCTCTTCTGGTGGTCTTTGACCTATTTAAGTCTCTCTTATCACTTTCTCAGTTTCTTTATATCTCTAAGTTTCTTAGCACCCCGAAACACTTTCTTAACATTTCAGTTTTCTTCTCGTTTCTCTTTCTATTTTTCACACCCTTAACAAAATACTCCTATAAAATTTGAGGGATAAACATAAACCCTCTATATCTACTAGCCTCTATCATTTTTCACTGATTTAACTTCCTTGTTAATTAATATAGCTTTTCTATCTCTCCCTATTGCTCTCCATCTTTTCTCTATTGTCCAATCTAGAGATAGAGATACAGCTTAAGGATCATTTTCTTGCGACATTGTAGTGTTACACCTTAGGAATAATTAAAATCTTACAAGAAAAATGTCTAACAGAAGATCAAGACAATCTTCAAATGCTACGAGGATCTCCGACGACCAGATGATCGACCTCGTTAGTAAGCTCCGTCAATTTTTGCCGGAGATTCGTGAACGGCGCCGTTCTGATAAGGTATATTACATAACATCACTTCCATTTAATCTTTTCATCTATATTACATTTTTCTTTCTTAGAAGGAAGAAAAAGTCACATTGCTTTTTTTTTTTTTTTTTGTAAATTAAAAGTCACATTGCTTTTTCCTTAAAAAAAGATGGGACACAAATCAAACAAGAAGTCCAAACTTTTGAATTCCGACAACATAATTGTTTTCTATTTTGACCAAATGAAAACGTCGAAAAGTCATGGTTGTGTGATGTCCGTACATGTATGTCGTCTCTTGATAATGTTTGCGCATAATATTAAAATTTAGGTGTCAGCATCGAAGGTACTGCAAGAGACATGCAACTACATAAGAAAGCTGCATAGAGAAGTTGACAATCTCAGTGACCGTTTGTCGTTGCTCCTCGACTCCGTTGATGAAGATAGCCAAGAAGCTGCCGTCATTAGAAACCTACTCATGTAAACCTTCCAATACATTGATTTGCTATATAACTTATAAGTTATAATATATATGTAATGTTGATCGTCCTTAATATATTATGAAGCGACGTGTTTTTTTCTCTTATGTGCTTCTGAATTATGGTCCAGCAATTACATAAACGTCTAGTTTGTAGTCTCCGAAATATGTGATATTTATTACTCGATTGTGTCACGACATCTCCAATAATGATACTAAATTTAGTGTTAAAATTATACCAAATTTGATGTTTTAGTGTTAAATTTTCTTTTTATTATTTTTAACAATAACACCAAATTCTACACCAAAACTAATATTATATATATATATATATTTTTTTTTTTTAATAATTAATTTAGCACACTTATCTATTATATTTGTTAAGTTTTTGTAGTTTTGTGTTTATAAAATTTATTTACATTTATTTATATTTTATGTATTTATTATATATAAAATATTAGTTATGATAAAAATTACAAATTATTAAAAATGAAAAGTACATAACAACAAAATAAACATATTTTAATAGAATTTGTATTAGTTAGTACTAAAAGTTTAACTATATATAAAAAATTGTTATTTTAGTGTTTGATAAATTTAATAGTATTACATAAAATTTTAACTAGTTACTATTAAATCTAGCTTATAGTATTGATTTTTATATTTTTTAAAAAAATATTAATTAAAATCTTCTACTTTTAAAATTAAAAAAGAAAAATTCTATAATATATTTTCTTTTAATATGCCATTTAGTGATTTATTAATAGAAAATAAAAATAAATAAATTATATAAAATAATTTAAAATACATTATATTTACGTTTGATTGTAAATTTAAACTAATTAATAATAGTTATTGAACTAATTAATAATAAAATATATATTTTAAAATTTGGTGTGATAAATAGTATTACACCATAACATTATTCATTGTACACCAATTTTGGTTGGATGATGTCAAATTTGGTGTCTTGTTGGAGATAGATTTACACTAAATTTAATATATTAGTATAATTTTTAGAGATTGCCTCAGTTAAAAGATCAAAAAATGCAGGATGAATAAATAATAAACAATATATAGAAGAAAAAAAAATATGTTATGAATTTCTTATTAAAATACTGAAAATTTTCAAAATTCATTATAAACAAATCCAGTTAATATAAATATGTAACTATTTATTGGGTAAGAACCGGCCCATATTTATTGCATTTTTATTTGAGAACCATATTTATTGCATTTCTATTTATCTACGACGTTGACGAAGTACTGAGAGGTATCTACATTTCACGATGACTTTTAAATATATTCGAATAAATGGGCATGAGTGTAGTATATAGACGTCCGACAAATTTATCTGGAAAAAACTTTGGTTTCATAAGCAGGCTGCCACGTAACTACGAAGATATGAGAAATGTCACATGAAGAATCATTACTTTGACGAGAGACCATTACTTTTCAATGTTTACAATAAAGTGATGCATCTGTGAAGTCAATTATATTATAGAGTGACTATGCAGACGTTAATAGGGGATAATATTAATAATAATGTGATTATATACTCTTAAATTTGTGTCTGTGTTTGTGTTTTGTTTTGTCAATTGTGTCTGTGTGTTGCTTAATTTTGATTTTATATTTCACTAAAGTATTACACAATTTGCCACATCCTACTTTTAGGTGGATGTTTAGTTTATCTAATATTTTAAGATAAACAGGCCACAGATTTGAAATTTTAAACCCAAACTTCCATGTAATGAATCATATCCGGTTAAACATAACATAGCATGGAAAATTTTCCAATCTTGTAAATGATAAATGATACTTAAATTATCTAATAAAACTTCCTTGCTTTTTATTTCTAAAATAACATTTTACATTACTGTAATGCAATTATCCCCTTAAAACATTATTTAGAATCTTACTGTTATCACTACATTAATTTTATAAAAATTATGGCATGGCTTAATCAAAAAGATAACATGATCTCACTTTTTCATGTAAAAATTTAATGATAAAACTTTAATTTTTGGTAAAATTCTTAAAATAAGTAGTTACGACTATATATAAACTATACTTAATTATTATTGAATTATAGAAAATAGTATAAAATAAAAAAGTTTATTAAAATGAATTTATGATAAAAGAAGTATGCAGTTTCATATAGCTGTTTATATTTTCATTAAAATTCATTATAAAGTATTTAACAATTAAACTATGATAATTTCTGATTAAATTTTTATGAACCATTAATTTCAGTTATACTTAGGTCCAAAGGTATACAGATCCTTAATCGAATTTTTAATCAATTTTATTTGGACTTAAATGTTATGTAATAATTATCATGTGATGGTTATTGATTAAATAAGACAAATAAAGTAAAAAAAAATATTGATGTAATAAATTTTAAATAATTAAACTACTCGGAACTAAAGTTTTAAATATATAAACATAAGATAAATGAAATTGTTAAAATTTTACTTAACTTTAGTAAACCAAAATTAAAGTAAATATGTTAAGTCAATCAGTAAATAAATAATTAGTTTAATTTTATTTTTAAATTTAGAAAATAAACTTATATTTATATTTATATTTATATTTATGTATAAGATTATTTTAAAAGATTATTTCTGCTCTATAGGCTGCCATCACTCGTAAGTCTACGTTTGGGATCAGTTTGATATCACACTATATTTTATCAATACAAAAAGAAAGTTTCTAGATAATTAGTAAATAGGAAAACAAGAGGTATGTGAGAGGAAAGTAAAGAACATGTAACTCACTATATGATTCGACTAGCTATGCTAAACATTTCAACTTTGGTTTGGATATGTTTTACTTTGTTTTGGACCAAAATGTGGACCGATCGATCAGTACTGAGCGGCATCATTTAAATGTTAAGTGGTTAACTCCATTTTCAATCTTTCTTATTATTTTGTTAGGCAAGAAATAAAATCTAGCTTAGGCATCTACATAAGGTTTGTACATCTTAACATTTGGTTATTATCATAAAAATCTTATATGTATTTCCATCTGTTTTAACATTGTATATATCTAACAACAAATGAATAAAAATCATAAGATCTGTTTTCGAAGAACTGGTGGTTGAGTATGTCAATAGATCAGAAATTCTCAGTAAATTCTCAGAAAATTATATACTTTAAAGGAAATTTTTTTTTCCACTTCAGTAAATATTTACGTTTAATTTAAAGGAAAATTCTATAAAAGTACATCAACTAAATTTTGTTAAAATTATAAACTTGTTTGCTATCCAGTTTAATAATTTAACCAATTATTTTGTTCATTCTAACACACTAAATTTTAACATTGTTCTCATTTTATTTAATCAAATATATTTGTAAGTTTCGAAGAAAATTTTAAAAACTCCAAAAATTCACAAAAAAATCTTAAGAATCTAATTTTATTTTAATGTTTAGGAAGGATAGTATCTAATCTGTGGGAAGAATTTAAAAATTTAGAAAAAATAATTTTAAATGAAAAAAAGTTAGTTTCAAAATTCGAAAACAAAATTTATTTTATATTAAGACTAAAATCTTTATTCCACAACGTAAGGTTATCAAAAGTTTAGTTACTTTAATCCTAACTTGAAAGTAAAATTAGAATTTTTACAGATTTTTTGTTGTTGTGAATTTGAGAGATTATTAAATTTTATTTGAAACTTATAAATATTCTTAGTTAAATAACCATAGGCTGAGTATTAAAATGAACCCAATTTTAAAACTGAAAACTATTAAATAAACAAATAATCAATTTACGAATCAGTGTTCTAAAAAACAACTGATCGGATGATTGCATCTTCAAAAACGATATATCTCTTGACATGTACAAACCCTTTTACGATGGACACTATATCATCCACTGGTTAGATACACATCTCTCTACATAAAATTTACATAAATTCAACACAAATAAAAATTTACTTCTGTTAGTTTTTATTTTTTGAAAATTTTTATTGCAACAAAAATATATTGTAAAAGAGTAAATTTTTCATACGTCAATATTTATATTACCAATTATGGTATATATATTGCATGTATAATATATATACGATACATTTCTTTACTCAGTCATAGATTTATAGTATAAATATATATATATATATATATATATATATATATATATATATATATACTAAGTTTCAAGTCAAAAATTTATAGTACTATTGCATTCTAAATTACACTACACTAGTTCATAATAACAATAATAGTAAATATAAAGTTAAAATAATCATTTTTTAGCTGGTGTTATAAATCAAAACCAAAATCAATAGGAGCCAGAGAACAATACTATCCAATAATGAAACAATCTGGGTTGGTAATCACTGTCTTCGTCTAGGTAAACGGTTTACCCTAAACCAAAATAGCATACTCAATTTATGCATCCATATATTTCTGATAAATTTCTATACTCTGAGTAAATAACATAAAACAATCACATAAATGTAAAATGTTTAGTAATTTTTTCCCTACAACTAAAGATAAAAAATTCATCAAATACAAAATTTCTAGTAAATTTGAACACTTTTAGACTTTTAACTAGAACAAATTTTGATTTGGTAACTTTAAAAATCTGAATAAAAATCACTGAAAAATAAGTAAAAAATACACAAAATAAATGCAAAACATGAGCAAATATATTTAAGTTGTTCAGTTGTGTTCATTGAACATTGTTAAATGTTGATGAGAGTACAGTAGCCTAAGTGACAAAAATGAACATTTTCATAAATAGTTATATATATATATATATATATATGAATATAAATTTCATTCTAACGATTTTTAATTTTGTATTTAAGTAAAATTAAGTCAAAATGAAAATTTTTGTTTATCTTATATTTATATATTGAAAACTCTAGTTTCGAGTATATTTTTGTTTAAATTTATTACATCAATAATCATCAAAAATTATTTTTGTATAACATTTAAATCCAAATAAATTTAATAGATTAAAAATTTGATTAATCATCTATATAATTTTGGATCTAAGTATAACTCAAGTATTTAATTCGTCATAAAATTTTAAGCAAAATTGTCATAGTTTATGTTTTAAAATACTTTTATAATAAATTTTTATGAAAATATAAATAACCATACAAAATTACTTACTTCTTTTATCATAAGTTCATTTTCTTAAAAAAAAAATTAAATATAGTTATATTGTTTTAGAAATAAAATAATAATAATAAATATAGTTATATGTAGCCATATTCTGTAACTATCATCTTATTTAAAAAATCTTACCAAATTTAGTATTTATCATTAAATTTATACATGTCATAATAAGAAGGAAACCATGTCAATATTTTTGACTAAGTCATGTCATCATTCTTACAATGAATATAGCGATGATCCATAAGCAAAATTTATAAGTTCACTTCTCAAACAATGTTTTTATTGGTAAATATTAATGTTTTAGATATTATTTTGAAAGATTTTTTTAAGCGCATGGCATGAAACCAACTATTGTAGTTCTATACTATAAGATAAGGTGTTATAAGTTAGATTTAACTTAAACCAACCTCACTTTAGAACCAGGAATAAATCATATTCAAATTACACATGGGCTGATATCAATAAATTGAACTTGAGCTGCTAATTAGTCAACTGAAAGTAAAAATAAGCTATTTTGCTTATTGACTTCCCAACACAAATGATAAAATTTCACAAAGGTTTAACCAACACTTATGGTAAATGTAATGCCCATGTACGAAATGACAGAACTATTTAAAATAGATTGATTAAGCGATTAACCCTCTTTTGTATAATTGAAAAAAGTACTTAAGATTTCGTGATGAACAAATGAGCATATGTTCAAACAATAAGCCCAGTGACACTTCGTTTATTTTCCATCATTCGAACACTGAAAAGTGAAAAGATATATGAAATAAGGTCCTTTAGATTCTAAAATTTGATCTACATTTCTAATTACAATTGCTTATGATCTTACGTATTGATAATTACATAAAAATTTTAAAATTCTAAAATTTCAAATACATATAAAAACAAGAGAGAATTAGGGAAATGCCCAAAATGGAGGCTCTAATTAGGGAAATGCCCATGATGGGACATAAAAACAAGATTTCATACAATTATGCTTTGGTTGGACGTTAAAATCCCTCTTGCATTCTCAATTCCTCTACGATTCTTTAATTATTCTGACACTCTCTTTCTTCTCCTCTCTTACACTCTCTTTCCATTTTTTATTATATTCTTTTTTCTTCCATATTTTTTCATCCAAAATTTTTTTATTCATTAAAAACTAATTGACGCACGAAACAAAATAATTTTTATTCGTTAAAAACTAATTAACACACGAAATAAAGTATTGATTTGTTTAATTACACCACATATTGAGAAAATCATCATTGCAATATTTTTAAAATCACCGATTGTTAACAAATGTGTTATCTGTAACAAATAATGTAAATGTTAATAGATGTGTTAGCTGTTAACATATACATGTATCAGAGGTGTTAGTTGTTAATAAATTTGTTAACAGTTAATGTCTCTGTTAACACATCTACTATATGTATTTATTAACAGCTAACACATCTGTTAACGTCTACAAAATTTGATAACAGTTAATGTCTCTGTTAACAAATAGATAATATAGAATTTTTAATTTTCCTATTCCAATGAATAAATATAAAAAATCAAAGTTATTCTTTAAAACCACATAGGAAATATATATATATATATATATATATATATATATATATTTGAATGAATGAAAAAAATATTTAGAAGAGAGAATGACAAAGAAAAAAATGATAAGGGAGTTTGAGAATGGGGAAGAAGTGAAATCGAATGAAAGAGAGAGAGTGTCAGGAAAGAAAGTCTCAGGAAAGATAGAGTGATGAGAATAAAATCAGAGAGGCAGAGGAGCATCTTGGTCACTATTATTAATTAAGTCAAATCATGTGTATTTCCCTAATTAATGGTCAAAAAAGATATGTGAGTAAATTATCTCTAAAAAAAATCATATGTAAATTTCAAATTTATGAACATTATATTTTTATATTTTAATTAAAGGGTTTATAGTGATTAAAACCTCCAACTATTTTTAAATCGGATAAAAAACCTACAACTAAAATTTTATGTTTTTAACCTCCAACTATTAAACCGTCAATGCCGTTAACCTTCCGTTATCAAAATCGTTTTTTCTTAACAGAAACCCGTTAAATCGAAACACCGCGTTTCATGTAATTTGAAAAACGACATAAGGTTCTTACTATCAATATATATTTTAGTGATTTAAACCTCCAACTATTTTTAAATCGGATAGAAAACCCCTAACAAAATTTTTTATATTTTTAAACCCTCAACTATTAAACCTTTAATGTTTTTAACCCTCTATAAACAATTAAAGTCATATTTTCTGAACGGGAAACCTTAAATTGAAACACAGAGTTTCATGTAATCATATAAACATCATGAAATTTTTAAACCCCCAATATCAATGAGCAATGATAATCACAATTCATCCTCAAATAAAAAAAAATGAATAGGAGAGAAATAATTAGGGTTGATTCCGTACTGTTAAGGTAGATAAGCTTTCAACCGAAAACTAATTGGTGATAAGTGGAGTGGCCCATCTATCTTATATACTAAATATAATCTCTTGCAACTTCTGATGTGGAACCTTTGTCCCTAATACGCCCCCTCGAGATGATGGCTCTTTGGCGTCAATCTCGGAATGTTCGGGCAAAGACCGATGGGCCGAATTTGGGCTGGATCGATAAAGATCGGGTTGAACTTTGTGGATCATAGACTCTGATACCATGTTAAGGTAGATGTGCTTCCAATCTAAAACCGATTGGTAATAAGTGGAGTGACCCATATATCTTATATATTGCTTATAATCCCTTCCAACAACCGATGTGGGATTTTTGTCCCTAATACGCCCCTCGAGATGATGGCTCTTTGAGCGTCAATTTCGGAATGTTTGGGCAATGATCGATGGGCCATTAAGATAAAATAGAGTAAAATAAATAGGTGAAAGACATAAGAAAATAAAAAGTGGAAAACAATACAAAAGCCAGCGCAACACATATTTCTCTGCATAAACCAAGAGAGAAAAATGAAACAATTTATTATGTTTCAACAGTAACTAGCGAAAGCGCAAGTTGAAATTTTTTCACCTGACTGGCTAAATATTAGCTGGAGTCAAAGTAAATATGTTTTACACTTAAAATATATCGTCAGAAGTGCCATACAATCATAGCCTAAAATTAGAAACAATAGAATTTTTGGACTTACCTCACCTTCGATGAAAAGGAAAAAGAAATTTATTTTTTTTTTATTTAAGGATGAATTGTGATTGTCATTTTCCATTGATATAGGGGGTTTAAAGTTTAAACATTTTATATCGTTTATATGAACATGAAACTCTGTGTTTCAATTTAACGGTTTCTCATTCAGAAAATATGACTTTGATTACAGAGGGTTAAAAGCAATAAAGATTTAATAGTTGAGGGTTTAAAAATATAAAATTTTATGTTGGGGGTTTTCTATCCGATTTAAAAATAGTTGGAGGTTTAAATCCCTAAAATATATATTGATAGTAAGAACCTTATGTCGTTTTTGAAATTACATGAAACGCGGTGTTTCGATTTAACGGGTCTCCGTTAAGAAAAAACGATTTTGATAACGGAAGGTTAACGACATTAACGGTTTAATAGTTGGAGGTTTAAAAACATAAAATTTTAGTTAAAGGTTTTTTATCCGATTTAAAAATAGTTAGAGGTTTTAATCACTATAAACCCTTAATTAAATATATTTATCCTAGTTAGTAATAAAGTCTGAAAATCATTACCGTCAAAATATTGGGAAACTGTTATATGTGACAAATATGTCGGAGACTTTCAGTGGCATATGACATATCATATCTTTTTACACACAGATGAACAATACCAGTCACATTTTTCACATTTTTATGTGGTAAAGAAATGAGTTCGTTTAAGAGTTTAATATGTTAAGTGTAATTGGTTTAATGATTTGAAGTGAGAGTCAGAACTTCAAAGTCCTACATTTTTACACTTTCAAGGTTGGCACTAATAGTTTGATAATACAAAACATAATTTTGGGGTTTTTTGTATTGGTGATTTTAATGTTGTTTAACAGTGGATAACTTTAGCGTAGGTGTTCGTATTCTAAAAGACATCCTTAAATGTATATATATCCGTTCATGCAAATACAAATATCTCTGTATATTAAACTATATAGATAAAAATAAAATAAAATGTTAAATTTTTTGCAAATACCAAAAATAATACATATATTAAAAGTATATTGACACAAAAGAAAAAAATATTAAACTGGAAATTGGCAAAAAATAATAATAGAATTATATAGTATTAAATCACATTATTACCATATACTCAAATCCCATATATTCAATATTCCCAACTTCCATCTACTCTATACATACCTATTTTATTTTTCCTTCCCACTATTATTCAAACATCCCATACAAGTTTGACATAGTGACGAGAGAAAAAGCACAAAAAAAAGATTTGACCGAGTCTCATTTTCTCCGGTCATATTTTGTCAGCTGACTTTTTTACCTGAACTCCTACTGCCTTTACAAATATATATGAGTCCAACATGTAAAGAATGAACGGAATTTCAAAGAATAGACAACAAATTACCACATCCTAATTTCAACTTTTACACTTGAAATATAACCTTCTTCAAAATCAAAACATCTCTATGTACACAACAAAATCTGTAGAGGCAAAAAAACACTCCAGCACTCAAAAACTCAATGTAGTAAAACAAACAAAAGCAAGAATAATGTTTCTCTGTGTGGTGTATGTTCTAAAAGCTAATCACAACAAATAGGACATCTAATGAGTCCATTCTCATTACAATCAAGACATTTTTGAAACCCATTCTCTCTTTCTTCCTTTACACTTTCATCATCATCATCATCATCATCTTCATGGTCATAGTACACTTTGCAGCTCCCTGAACATGTCTCACAAGGCACAAACCTTACATCTCCACAACCTTCACATTCTTGCCCATCACAGTTTTTGTTTTCTTCCACCCTCTCGCAGCCTTGTAGAAGCTTCTCAAGCTTCCCTTCTTCATTCAACTTCCGAATCTCATCTGCTCCTCCGAGTAACTTCTTCCCCAAGAAAACTCTAGGTAAGGTGATCCCAACACCACTTTTGAATTTACCTCCTAGCAGCTCCTTAAGCTCCTCTTTAAAACCCGAATGCATCGATACATCTCGCTCATCCACTCTAACTCCAACACTTTTTAGTATACTTCTGACCTCACAGCTATCTTCATATGTCTTCCTTATACCTCTAAGGCTTGTGAAGTAGAGTATCACCTTGTCTTTACCAGTAGGCTCACACAAAGCTTCCTCTTCTTCTTCTTCATCAGAGAACTTAAACTGTGGCCTCAGTTTCAAATCATGAATCGGAAAGTGAAAAGGATGTTCAGAAGGAAGTTCTTGGAGAGACCTCCTGAATGAAGAAATGATCTCAGGATCAAAATCTTCAAAGTCCTCAAGCCCTTCTTCCTCTAACTGAAGCCACAAAGGCTTTACATCACCATTCAACTTGGGACGTTCACAAGCCACATCAAAGGAGAAGCTCCTAACGTGATTAGGGCTCAAAGAATCTTCAAGCCCATCCATCATCTCCCATGTGTTGATCGTCTCCGGCTCTCCCGGAGGCGTCAAGATGGGAGTCTTGGGAACAATCTTGGGGATCTTCTCGTTCATCATACTTGACCATACTTTAGCTTCCATAAGCTTAGCCTGCATCACCATATTCAACTTCTCCTTCTCTTGCCTCTCTCTATGGACAAACCCATTTACTGAGGCTCGTCGTTGCTCTCCTGATTCCTTGATGGGGACAAGGCTCCCGCTGAAGTCAGAGGACGAGTCGCAGAGCTTGAGAGAGCCGAGGCTGGAGGAGCTGAGAGCAACCATGTGGCAACTGTCGCCGGAGTGTTGAGATGGGTGGTGAACTGATTGGCTTTGACGCATTTCCACCGGACAGTATCCTTGCCGGCAGTGGTGGCATCGGTTACGGTGCTTTGAGCTCGTACATCCCATGATGGATCAAACCGGAATAATAATAAAAATGCAAATCTTTTGAACAGAGGAAAGAAAGACTCTTGGAGATAAAGGGTTTGGTAAGATCGATGAGATATATCAAAAGAATTTTTTTTGGTATGGAGATTTGTGAAAATAGTAGCTGGAAAGAAAAGGGGAAAGAGAGATCGTAAACGAGTTACGAGTAAAGAGCAGATTAAAAAACAGAGACAGAACAGGGGACCAAAACAGAGTATTTTTCTGAGGAATTTAATAAAAGAAGAATAAAATCAAATGGTCCAAACCAAAAGACTTATGAAAGTGAACACACGGACAACAACTTCATCTAGTTATGCAGTCTCGTCGTCTCTCTCTCTCCCTAAAAGTCGCAGAGAAGAAGAAAGAATGTAGCGTTTTAGAAAAGTTCTCTCAGATAATTTGGTTATTTATAAAGTCATCAAAAACCATTTGGTTGGTAGGTGTTCTTTGTATATGGTTCATGGTTCTAAAACTAAAATAAAAGATTAAATAGGAATAATATCTACGTTTTTTTGTGTACTATAACTTAGTTTTGTTTTCTTTTATGGACATAGAATATTAGCATACTGAAAATTGGAATACACTAATTTTTTTTTGAAATGTATGTGATTATATTTAAAAATAATAATTAGAATACCAATTGAAAGATTTACTTATGTGTTCTATTTAATTCAATCTATTAATTGGTACAAGATTTCACTCCTTTTAAAAAGATTAACTCAATTAAAGTAGATAATGGATAAAACAAATTAGTTTAGATTAAATATGATTATGGTAATATTGCGTTCTGATGAACTATCTATGAGTCATTATATCTCGTTCAGCATTTTTTTTCTTGATAAAATTTCATAAATTAAACTTTGATTTTGGATCTTATCCATTCAAAGCCATATTTTTATTTATTTTGAATTGTAAGGATCCAAAAATCTGAAACTTACCAATATAAATAATTAATAATATTTTATATTTTTCGTTTACTGTTTACATATGTCCTCGCCTATGTCTACTTAAAACATATTGCTTGGATCTGCTCGTTTGAATGGTAAAAAAAAAGAGTCTATGCTGTGGCCGGCCTATGCCTCTAGTACAGTACTAACATATTTCTCTTCTCTACTACAATATATTTTTAAGCTGTGTTTATATTATATACACATGTAACATGCTATTTACCCTTTTCTGTTTGTGTACACCACTGTATCAACTTGAATGACTGCGAGTGAGATTTTTAACGTAAAAATAAAGAAAAAAAAATTTTATTTATGATATAGTACATGTTTTAATGTTGAGAATTAAGGCCGTTGTTCTTGATATCGACATTTAATAGAAAAAGGGAGTATAATTTACGTTTGCGGAATTTTATGTTTATCAGTTCTATGTCGATGATAATTCCAGGATTTTCATAAGATTCCGTGATGCAATTTAGCACAGTTATTCTACTTAATAATACCATTCAAACTAAAAAATCAGTGTGCACTATTTCGTTGGAATATCTCAGTTTGCTTTCAAACATAGATGCAAGTACAAAATCGTGGCCTCAATTTAGGGAATATGCATACTCTCCAACTATATTTCTGCGGCAGATATACGAAAACGACAACAATCTTTCTACCCCGAAATTTTAGCCTCTGACTTTTAAAATATGATGGTTTGATTCAGCACAAAGCGGACTATTTAATATGATTATCTTCTTAATGCCACCAAGTTTTGCTGGTCCAATAAAGTGTAAATAATATCTTGAATATAAGTGGTTAACTGGTAGCTAAATCGAAAAGTATAAATAAAATTAAAAAGAAGTAAAAACTAATTTACGTCCTTACCATTATTATTTCAACAGTTAAATAACGATTAATGGAAATATAGTTTGTATACGTTGTATGATACGTTAAATAGAAAATGTGGTTACCCAATTGATTCAGATGATCTGAATCAATTTTAAAATGTTACCGATTGATCTAATTTAAAGTAGCTAAACGAAAAAACCAAAACCCTCAATTTGGTTTGGTTCAGAAACTCTGATTCGGTTAAAGATCGCATCCGTAGTTTTGCCTCTTATAATAATTGGTTCAGAAACTCCAATTTAGTTAAAACTCTCATCCTAGTTAGGCCCCTTATATTATAATCTTCTCTTATACTTTCCAACGTCAAACTATATAAATGAATCATTGGACTTATTATTTGATCAATGATTGAATAACAATACTATCACGGAAAGGCTTACGCCTTAAAAAATCAAATTAACCGTAAGATGGGTGGAGACAAATGGAGTATATGATAGTAGTAGAAAAGAGAGCGAGAGAGAAGTGGGTTACTTAGTGGCTTAATTAATGGATGGCATTGTTGGTCTTCTGTCTTATTTTGTGTTTCTGTTTGGAGACAGGAATTAGATGGCCTCCACTAAACCTTGTTTTAAGAAACTTATTTTAATCTATTTATTTATGATAGTTTTGAAATAAAATGTATTCTATAGCATTCTTTAATGGTTGCTAGCTCTGTTTATTTAAATGGAACGGTTTTATATTACTATTAACTAGGTTCATAGCTCCGCGCAAGCGCGGAGCCGGAGACAGTGATGATGAGTTATGATGTTTATAGATGGGATTTTGTCATTTTTTTGGACATTTTTTTTGTTTGGGGTTTAACCGAAAACCCGAATGAATTTAGTTGGTATATGAATAAGTGAAAATTCATATGCTTTGAAATATTCATATATTATTTTAGTAATGATTTTCTCAAATATTTGTGTTATTAGTGCTTTTATGTCTAGGATGGGTGATTTATTATGTTGTTATTGTCTAATTTGTAGGTTGGTAGTATATTATTGTTAAATAGTGAATTAGCATTTAAAAAAATTAAGATTTTATTAAATTATACAAAGAAATATAGTTTAATGGATTGAAGAGAAAAATATGAAACATGTTTGTTAAGGGGTTGTGTGGAATGTTTAGAGATCAATATTTATTAGTGAGTAAAGACCTGTTTTTATTTACAGATAAGAGTGTTTGACGAATTTATGTGTTCGTATTTCTACATTTTTTTACGATTTAATTGGATTTTAATGTTATTAGTGAGTTAATAACCATATGTAACCAAATATAGGTATTTGTTACTATACAACTATTATATGGGAACGAAGAAGAAATAATTTTGTTATTCGAAAAGAATATAGTTTGTTGTTTTTCAATGTGCCATGACAGGTTTTGAAAATATATAACTGTAGTTTAATAAATGCTAAGGCTTCGTATAATTATATACATGTATGACTAAGATAGTTATTTTTTTTTATATTTGTCAAAAATATTTTGTGGTAGTTTAAAAATGGGAATGGTAGATTTAAAAGTTTAGTCGTATAGGATTATATTCGAACACAATGAAAATGTAGTAGCTGGGTTTTAAATGATTGGACTTGAAATTTGATGAGTCTTGAGTCTCAATTTAGATCTGAAACTGGATTGTTTACTCGCCCTTTTTGTTTCTCCTCGTCATCTTCAGTAGTGTGACAAGCTTTTGTGATTCTTGGTCTGATTGTGTTTTTAGTGTGTCATTTTGTGAAATTATGGTTTTTCTATAGCAACATGGAAGAGAGATTAGCTCACCTTAGCTAAGGTTGTCTCCATCGCATTCCTTACTCAGTGAACCTCTGTTGATTCGGTGTTCTCGAAACCTGCAATAAGAAGGTTTGAATTTGTTGTATGACTTTATTTCTATTATTATTAGTTTCGTTTACTAAAACCCATACCGAATGATTTGAGGTTCTATATGTTAATTTGGTTGGTATGGCTTATGTTTACTTTAACATGACAGAGAGACTTAAAGGTTGCATGACGGATGTCGGTGTCGCTAGTTTTAAGAACTGGAGAAGGAGAGAGAGACATTTTCTAGAAGATGGTTAAAGTTAAGAGCAATAGATAAGTTTTGTGGAGATGCACATAGGGTTCCTCTAAGATGAGAATCATATATATATGATTTACAGAGGGGCTACAAATCAGGAACATTTATGATCAAGCGATGTAAGATGGGGAGATGAAAAGTTCACCGGTGAAAAAAAATAGATTACGAACAGACACACGACACAGCTCTATAACTCAGACCTGTATGAGACAATGGTGAAAGGAATCTTAACTCATTTTAAACATTAAAAGTTTACAATATGGGAAAACTGTGACTTTTGTAAACTTGAGGATTTTCTTCATATAATATGATGAAGCCCAATTAAAAATGAAACTCATAATACACTTCCAGGCCCGAACTTTAAAGAAGGCCATAGATGCAAAGGTTTCTGGCTAAATATATATTAGTTTCGGCCATCAATGTATAAGTTATCTTGTAGTTTAGTGGTATGAATGTTAGTGTTTGTTTCTTAATAACCCGGGTTCGAATCATATGTTTGATATTTTTTCACATTTTTAAAGTGGGACCCACCTAATGCTGTGTCGCGTTGAGGAGTCTTGAAACTCAACTATTATAATATAGACTAGATTTTATACTCGCGCTACGCGCGAGTCTGTATTAATAATTTAGTTTAGCTTTAAAATAATTTAAAACAAAAAAATTAATTGGGTAACATAATTTTATTATTTAAAATATAATTTTTAATTTAGTATTTGTGCTTTCGTATAATTATGTTATCTTATTAGCTATTTAGTTATTTGTATTTGTAAATATAATAATTATGTTGTAAACATATTTATAATTTTTAGAAATATTAATTTATATTTTATAATATTAAATAGATTTCTCAACATGTAAACGGTTAACACGTTATAAATTTTCATCATACATTTTTATATTTTTAACAAAATAAATAAT